ATCAACAACAAAAAAAAAACGTCAATGCTAAGTTCTAAGTAATTTAGAACTTAGCTTTGTAGAAAAGCTTTTTTTTTTATCTTAACAAATGTACGTAATTTTTCAAATTATACTCCCGAAGCCTTCGTAAAAACGGACTAGTTCGTTAGCTGAATCTACGGGTCCCTGAAACAGGGCACGATAAATTGCGCGTTGAAAAACCTGAAGGCTTCTATCGTAACAATTGCCCTTAAGGGTGAAAGGAAGTCGGATCGAAGAGAACGCGATAACCATGATGAATGTACATTTGGCAAATAATAGCTCGATTTATATCGTACAAATTTTATTTGTCATTGACGAATTTAAAAATATTTTGAGATCAACGATTTGTTTTTCTAAATAAGCTTCGAAAACATTATCAGTCTGGATTTAAGTAAGAAGTTTTAGTATACTTCTTAAATAATTATGATTTTTAGATAGAAATTAGATTTCTTACTGGTGAGTCCGCACGGGTAGGTACACCACTCTGTCTATTTCTGCCGTGAAGCAGTAATGCGTTTCGGTTTGAAGGGCGAGGCAGCCGTTGTATTGTTAAAAGTGAGACCTTAGAACCCATGTCTCAAGGTGGATGGTGGCATTTACGTTGTAGATGTCTATGGGATCCGTTAACCACTTAACAACAGATGGGCCGTGAGATCATCTACCCAACTAAGCAATAAAAAGTGGGTGAAGTCTCAATTTTATTGTAATAAATACTGTGGGATGTAAATAGTTCATTGTATCAAAATAATTATCATCATCATCATCATCAACCTGCGGCAGTCCACTGCTGGACATAGGCCTCCCCCAAAGCTCGCCACTGAACCCGATCTTCGGTTCTACGCATCCAGTTACTGCCAAAATAATTAGAACGTATGTATTTCAATCGATGAAGTTCCATCGCCTAAGAGAATATCAAATATTTTTATACCAATTATACTGTGAGCAATAAGTCATTTTTCATTAATGAACTTATAGTAACATTTCTACGCACCCTTGTCATGAGAATCTGGCATTGTCATGCTGTGCATTTCCGAATCTCTTAAGAAAATATAATCACATTTGAAACCGCTTTTTGCTCCTTAGTACGTTAGCTGTTTTTCCCCCTACCTTTTCGCTGGTAGCCTAAGAGGCTATTCCAGCTACGAACTGGCTGGTAGATAAACTCAAGAGGCTGATAGATTTATCAAGGAATCTTCTAATAGTAAAGGCTTCGTCAAACAGAACGCGTACTTAGCGCCGCGTTTTAACGTCACGCTCTTTTCATGTCACACCAATTGACTAGATGAGTCTAACGCTCCTTGACGCAAGGCATTCGCCAAATCATAGTGCCTTTCGATAGCAGTGTGAAAATTTAAAAGTAATAAGATATCGAGTGATTCAGATGTGGCACTGTATAAGCATGGGTATTTTTTAACAATTTCTATTAATTTTTCGGGCATTACCCAGTATTTTAAAGCACATTCACTCGAACGCTAAAGTAAAATTTCTAAAAAATTACAACGTCTGACGCCATAGCGTCCTAACGCCGCGACAGAGCGTTGTGTACTTATAGCGCTGGGGCTGTTTGACGGTATTTTACCATAGTAGTACAACACATCTCGGCGTCATAGCGCGCCGTCAGTTTAGCGCTCTGACTCGCGCTAATTACTGTTTGACGAAGCCTTAAAGTTAGTGGGAAAGGCGTACGAACAATCGGCGGCTGTAAACAGTGATACTTACTAACTTTACGTAAAAACAAACCAGAAACTTTAAAAAGAATTCCCTTTTGTTTGATAATTTCATGCGTTCTTACTCCGAGCTATTGTTTGTTTTGTTAAGAAATATTGTTATTCTCGCATTATTGTTGTTTAAAACAAATTCATTGAAGCTCAAGTTTTTAATATACTAATAGCTGTGTTGGAATGTGAATAGAAAAAAAATAATTAAGAAGCGGTCACTGAACATTTGAATGATGTTTTTTTTATTGCTAACGTGTGTAAATGAACTCACAGCCCACCTTGTAAGTTAAGGGGTTATAGGTTCCTCCTCAACCTCAACAACGTAATTCGGCCACCTTGAAACTTTTTTTTCCTACCTATACTGATAGCCTTGAAAGACTATTTCAGTTTCACCCTAACGTGTAGGTGTGCTCACGGGGTTTAAACCAGAGTGTTGCTAACACTGGCCCTAGCAAGAACAGTGCTTCGCAGAATCTACCACCGGATCGGAAACGCGACCCAATGAGAAGATCCGGCGAGAAACTCAGTGGGCTGTGTCTATGGGTTAATTCGCTCGTCGAGCCTTTCATCGCAAGCGACGGGTTCGACGAGGACGGTAACCGGTGCTTGTGGTACCTAAAAGCACCGTTAATGGATCGAGAGGATCCGTAATGACGTGTTTTGGGCATGAAACATAAATCCAAAGTCTCCGTTTTATTGTACTGCCGCACCTTTCAATACGGAAGGCGTGACTGCTTCGCGAGCGAAGCAAGCAATACCTATGTGGTGTCCATGCGAGCCAACCCTACGACTTTCCATCAGTAATTAATAGCCTTTACGTGAAATATTGTGGACTTTAAAATATGACATCATTCATTAGAACAATGTGAAAATAGATGTCACTGAAAATTCTATCAGAGTATAACTCCTTTAATATAATATATTTAATACTGATTGCGCCATCTAGCGGTATTTCAACAAAACTAGTACTGTCACTAATTTTAAACGTGATTTACCAGTTCTTTCCGCTACTAGTTCTCTCAAATACTAACAGATGGCACTGAAAACAACACAAAGTTTCAGCTTATTTCATAAATTTCATGTATATTTTGCAACCTCTTAGTATTTATCGTCTATACTTCAACTTCTAGGCCCTTGTAGATATTTGCGAAACTCAATGTTGAAATAATACACCGGAATAGAATAAATCATTAACGGCTTAATGCAAAGTGGAAAAACAATGAACATGATTTGCAAAAACCCATAGACCTATATAGTAGGGACACGACATATTGTTCTATACGTACAATTGCTTAATAAATAGCACCCATTTTGAAGGCACATACATAAACATATATCTATCTCGTTCTTACTCAGCACTTTAACTCGCAGGAAAACAATATAACAGTATTTCAGTGCGTACATAAAATGAAACATGAATATACGTAAATATCTCCGTCTCCGTCTAATGAGGCCGAAAATCCGACATGTTTAGCGCGCCAAATGTCATTGTCACGTCAGTTCGGTCGTCTGTTTTGGGTTGTACATTATTTATTGACTTTGATATCGATTTAATATGATTGATTATATAAAATTTCATAATTTATCATGCTTAAAACATACAAAAATAATAATTAAAACGTATTTTATAGGATCTCAAGAAAGTCGATGCCCTAAAACTATTATCTATATGTATTTAAATTCATTATGGAGCCCTCATCCGAAAAATCCATTTTTCGGTCGGAATCTATTGATCATGACACTAATCATAAATACCACTTTAAAATATGTCATCAAAACATATTTAGACATTCTGTTTAGATATTTCGGGAAAAAGGCTACCGACAAAATCTCTTCGGAACTATTTAAATAAAATAGTTTTATTCCGCAGTGAGTAAAACACTATTGTAAATTTGTTAAATATTTAATAATTAAGTGATTTTAGAGAGGAAGTCACAAGGAATGACGTTTGTAATTAATGAATAAATGTTCTGTAGGTGTTTTTTTTTTCACGCGGTCCCTTGATAAGTTTAAAATTTGAATCACTCTCAAGCGAAAGTGATTCAAATGGTGCGGCGCACCTTCCTTGGGGTGCGCTGCGGTAGTATGTTACGGACTTTAGAGTCAGCAAAACAATTAAAATAGATTGTAATAGTCTAAGAAAAACACGTACTCAAAATACGATAACATTTAGCATGCTAGAAATGGGCTGATGGCTTTGAACTACGCCATATCTTTATGTTTTGCGACAAACGACAACTTTATAAAATCAGTGTAGCAACTTTTAAAAATCATCATATCGTTTACTTGGCAAATTCGAAGGACGAACTTGTCTTAGATTTCACCCATCTAAATCATATCATATTTGCACATAACAATATACCTACTTACTTCCCATTAAAGTATAAATTCTACAAATAAATAATACTCAACAATATTTAAAATAAAATGAGCCAAGAACGTTTATCGATAAAACCTGATAACATTGAAATCTTTTGTACAGCACTAAAGCCGCCATGTTTTGTGGCCAGATGACGTCACAGTGGCACGAAATTTTGGTTGACGTTTCATTTCCATAGGTTTCCTACTTCATTGCAAAAACCGAAACTTATATAAACAAAAACGGTGGCGCCATTAGTGATCAAATTGCGAACTATTTTGAAATTATAGATCAGTTTAGAACTTGTTTACAATCTTCCAACACTTAATCCATATTTGAGCTCCATCAGTCGCCAGTAATTTGCTTAAATAAACATACTTAACGTAATAATTTATTGGCCGGATAAATATTTTATATTTACAATAAAATTTACGCATACTCTCATAAAAAAAATAATGTGAGCCGTCACGGGACGCCTGGCAGATGTGAAACATCGACATTCTTTTGTAAAAGTAATATGCAGAAAAGAACAGATTGTGATAGGAACTAAATATGTCATAATGATAAAATAAAATATTACGAAAAAATAATTTGTTTTCAAGTAATACACAGGTTATGTGTACTGTAGTAAACAACACTGTATACATTACGGAGTATACACTATAGGTATCCGAGCTCAGTGTAGCCAGAGAGATGGGTTAACGCCGGATCGAGTGGGAGAGAATCGCAGTCGATTGCGCATGGCGACGCGTCGCCACACCGTACACACTACTGCATATAGACTGTATATATATATACCAACGCGTCGCCACGGCATGCGTCGCCACGCCAGAAATCGGTTTTACGTGCGGCTATAGATGTTTCACATCAAAAAACATCTTTATTTAAGTACATTTATTTATTTATTCAAAACATAATTCAATATTTTCCACGGAAACATTTAGATTTGCTTCAGTTGAGCTGAAATTAAAGATGATGTCGGTGACCGGCAGTCGAACAACCATTTCAGTTTCCATTGTAACGTCAAAGTATTCACATGGCTTAGCAGTGGAGTTCTGAAATGAAAATTATCGGAATTTTTAAGTAACTTAACACAGCACACTTCTACTTATTTCTAAAATATCCCACAACTTCAAGACTTAGTTTACAATTACTATTTATACGAGATTAGGTACTATTTTTATTGGCCATGTTGGATGATGTAACAGCCCGTCCGGTGTTAAGGGTGTTATTATATAAAGTCCACAGACATGACAACCTTTTTTTTTTTCAATCCGGGGGCCGAACCTCCTACGAGGTCCCCGGGCCTAGGGGGCGCGCGGGGTATGTGAGATTCAACGATCTGCAGGTGTTGAGAGCAGACCGCGGGCCCAAGGATTTTAGGGTCCACCCACTAAACGACTCACCTGCACTCTTACACCCGACGTCCGATCTCCGTCCGAGGTCAAACCCCGGTCAGAGTAGGGGGGTTCCCGCGGTCAACACTACAACCAGACACGCGGCGCCACCCCGAGGACGCCCGACACGGGTCGTCGAGGCGATAGTCGATGACCAACGACGTCGGTCTCCGCGGTACAGCGGCCCTACAGACATGACAACCTAAGCCAACGACTCTTTGAGTCATGAGTCATGTGGTCTCTATTATATTAACTTTCGGTTGGATTCTTTTAAAACGAACTAACTGATAATAAAAAATAATAGTTTCTTCACATTTAAAAAAAAATCATCTATGTTTATTGTTTCGTAAGAAAAAAATACGATACAACAACACTATAGATGGTAATGATTCGACTTTATCAGGGTATTAATTCGCCGGATATTCTCAGCGGATCGTGATTCCGATCCGGTCATACATTCACTGCTCTTGCTAGGGCAAACGTTAGCAAACCATTTTAGGCTGAGCTCCGTCAGCTCGCCCGATGAAGGTGAAGCCAGAAGCCCTTCCAGGCCATTGGCACATAAGTGGCCAAAATAAAGAAAGCAGAATTCCTACTACGAATTTGTTTCACTAAACATTCCCGTAGTAAAAACCTATCTGTAAATCCCTAATCGAATTATCAAAGTGTACATTTATTTATTTTATTTATTGCTTAGATGGGTGGACGAGCTCACAGCCCACCTGGTGTTAAGTGGTTACTGGAGCCCATAGACATCTACGACGTAAATGCGCCACCCACCTTGAGATATCAGTTCTAAGGTCTTAGTATAGTTACAACGGCTACCCCGCCCTTCAAACCGAAACGCATTACTGCTTCACGGCAGAGGGCGGTGGTACCTACTCGCGTGGACTCACAAGAGGTCCTACCACCAGTAATAGATTCAATACAGAATACATTCAATGATTATCAATACATACCGTTTCTGTACACGAATCAGGAAATACGACGTTGTAATAGAATGGCGCTGAGTCTGTAGAAGCAGAACCGATTATGACGTCATTCCACGTGAGCAATTGAACGAACGTGCCGATGGTTCCGCGGTTTTGCGCGGCCACATTCAACCCGTGGATCCTTAAAGTTTGACGAGCCGAATTCACTAATCCATGTAGCCACGTGATCTGGCTCGAACGTATCTAAAACATAAATCGAAACATAAGATAGAAAACCAGTCTAAGTTTTTATTGCGGGGCAGACTCCTATGCCTCTCGCGACAGCGATCGAAGACTTCGCGAACGGATTGGGGTTTTTGTGCGGTTCGATTCTCAGATCCCAATATCACCCAACGCCACGGATGGCGTCTGAGAAACTTATTCGTAAGCACGTGATATTTACTGGACTGGAGCCCATAGACATCTATAATGTAAATGGCGCCACACACCTTGATATATGTGTTCTAAGGTCTCAGTATTGTGCCCCACCTTTGCCACACCTTTTAAACCTAAACGCATTACTGCGTCACGGCAGATATAGACACGGTGGTGGTACCTACCAGTTTGTTCTCACAAGATGTCCTGCCAGCAGTAATTACGCAAATTATAATTTTGTGGATTTGATTTTTATTAGGTACATATTAGATACATATTAGGTACGTATGTTATTCCTTCATTGTAGAAGTGAAGAAGAAGCGTGAACATTTTTTAAATAAGTATTTAATTTGAAAATCGGTACCCGCCTGCGGGATTCGAACATCGGTGCATCGCAAGATATGAATGCACCGGATGTCTTATCCCTTAGGCTACGAGGACTACAAAACATAGTCATTCAGACATCTAGAGGATATCGAAATTGGTCCCGAAATATTGTCGTTTCGTCTTCGATTTCGGTTTCGCATCAGCGATGCCAGAGACACAATCAAATTATTGTTTACAACTCTCATATTAAGGCTTGCTCGAAGAAAGACACAGTTCTCAGGAAAAACCGTAAATGAATGATCTTTGGAAACGTTACGTAAATAGTAGGGGTGAATTCAGCGTCAGCTTTTGTGGTAAAGACAAGTTGCCTGGTTCCAAGCAATTCGTGAGATCGAAACACTGACATCCCCAGCAGCGCTCTTCTGAATAGAGTCTTTGTTTTTTTTTTATTGAAGTATTACTGGTGGCCCCGAGGCCTTTCCGTTTTCACTAGGACAGGTGTGCGAGCAAGGGCTCAACCAGAAGGGGTGGGATTTGCTAACAGCTACCCGAGCGCCTCCGAAGGAGACCTAAAAACTCAAGAGCGACTGCTTCGCGAATGAATCTACTACCGGATCGGAACCGCGACCCGCTAAGAAGATCCGGCGAGAAACTCAGCGAGCTGATGCATGAGTTAGGTAGGACGTCGGTCTCTTTGTCGAATTCAACGAGTACGATTACCGGGGTTCCTCAGCCTGCTCCTAGTGTTAGAGCTGAAGGTATCTATTGCAAGAGTTATTGGATCTGATGGATCCGTAAGGACGTGTCTAGGGCGACGACGGTGACTTGCTCTTATGTGATCAAGAGTCAACTAAAGCCAAGTATGCTCCAATACAGTAAGTAGCACGAAACATCGACCCAAAGATGCCCTAAAAAACCTGCAGGGACCCCGAAATTGTAGCCCCATGATAAGCCTTCTTTTTTTTATTACTTAGATGGATGGACGAGCTCACAGCCCACCTGATGTTAAGTGGTTACTGGAGCCCATATACATCTACAACGTAAATGCGCCACCCACCTCGAGATATAAGTTCCAAGGTCTCAGTATAGTTACAACGGCTACCCCACCCTTCGAACCGAAACGCATTACTGCTTCACGGCGGAAATTGGCGGGGTGGTGGTACCTACCCGCGCTACCTTGAAGCTTATCAGCATTTAATACATAGCATATCAGCATTTAATACATACTCCGAGCATATCCTTCAAAGAACGGCTTGCAATTTTGTTCCAATAGACGAACTGGCTTTCTCCAGTTAAGTTTTTATTAATTTCAATGAATACCGCTGGAAGAAAATTTTCTCGTGCTATGCAAGTTAGGTTTCCTTCGACACATTCGATTTTAAAAGAATCTAGTTCGTTTTTACCCAGCCATTGCTGCTTTTGATCTGGAATAAACAAAAGAAATTTAACGACATTGTTTATGGGTTTTTGACTTATGGGGTGTTTACGGTACTTAACGGTAGGCAGCGGCTTGGCTCTGCCCCTAGCATTGCTGAAGTCCATGGGCGACTTAAACAACTCACCATCAGGTGAGCCGTATGCTCGTCTGCCTAAAAGGGCAATAAAAAAATTGTTTATTTATTTCTGATGAGTTCTGAATATTTTGGCGCTGTTAGAAACGCTATAACCACGGGTAGTTCTTTTTTTTTTCCTTCCTAAGCTGATAGCCTTGAGAGGCTATATCAGCGGAACCTTAACTAGTAGGTGAGCTCACGGGGCTCAAACCTGACGACGTTGCTAACACGAACCCTAGCAAGAGCCGTGCTTCGCAGAATCTACCACCGGATCGGAAACGCGACCCACCGAGAAGATCCGGCGAGAAACTTAGTGGGGCCACGGATAGACTGTCTACTGTTAAGACCAAAAGTTGTGGTAAGAAACAGTTTTGCCAATTAGAAAACACAAATAACATTTAATAAATAATCAATTGTTTCAATTTTCATACCGACGATAGAAAACAGCTCCCAATAAAACAAAAGAACACGAAACAATAGTAAAAGAACATCCAATAATTTGAATTGTCATTTAACATTCAAAGTTTGTAATTATATTCCATCAGATTGTAGATGTAAAATAGTTGTAAAGTAGTTTTAAAGATTTAAGCATACATAGGGACAGTGAGATACAGGGACAGAGAAAGCGACTTTGTTTTATACTATGTAGTGATTTTTGATGTTTCGAATGCTTTGCAGAGTCGTTTATGACCACGAAAACTGTGAATTTAAACCGTAGAAACTAGTTTTAATTATTTGGATTAATTATACACATTAAGGTTGGTTTGCGCTTTATTAAGTTAGCATAAAAGGTGCTTAAGTTATATACCTATTGATTATTTTTTCCCGTATGCTGTGTGTATAATAATATACGGTTTTGATGCTTGGACGAGTGGGATAGCTCACGCCTCACCTAGGTTAAGAGATCCGCGGAGCCCACAGACATCAACATCGGAAATGCCGCAACCCACCTTGAGGCATAAGTTCTAAATCTTAGTTTTTACAATAAAACTGGTGCTCACTCTGACCTGAACCCTTAAAGCGGCTGATCGCAAACGCGTGGGTGCTTTTGAGATGTGGTGCTGGCGAAGAACGCTCCGGATACCTTGGACTGCGAAGAGAAGCAATCTGTCTATCTTAGATCAACTGCAGATCAAGACTAGACTGTCCACACTCTGCCTTCGCCGCGCACTCGAGTACTTCGGTCATATTGCTCGGAAAACACCGGATAGCTTAGAGAGACTATTCGTGACAGGGAAGATGGAGGGAAAGAGACCGCGCGGGCGCAGTCCGACAAGGTGGTTCGACCAAATCCGCACCACACTAGAGATCCCATTCTATGACGCCCTTCATGCGGCCAATTATCGGAGGCGCTGGCGGGACATTACAAGGAGTAAAATCATGTCGAATTATAATGGTCACGACCCTCAGCAGTGAGGAAATGACGCTCAGGAGGACAATACAACAGCTGTTCCAACTTTCAATTATGATATGATTTTAGTGTCTGTTTAATCAAGGTATAGTTTTACGGTATCCTCACCTGACTGCGATACATTCCTACAAGTTCTTTTCGAAGGTCGACTTCTTGATTCTCCCTTATCATTTTCGGTGTTACCTGAATTTGTTAAAGAAAGTCTTATAATTTTTTTTTAATGCTTAGATGGTTGAACGAGCTCACAGCCCACATGGTGTTAAGTGGTAACTGGAGTCCATAGACATCTATGACGTAAATGCGCCACCCATCTTGAGATATAAGTTCTAAGGTCTCAAGTATAGTTACAACGGCTGCCCCACCCTTCAAACCGAAACGCATTACTGATTCACGGCTGAAATAGGCAGGGTGGTGGTACCTACCCGTGCGGACTCACAAGAGGTCCTACCATAAAAAACAAATAATTATAACTATCATTATTATAATTATAAAAAACTGACTAATATCAATTTATTTTTTTATTGATAAAACTGATTCTCCTATACAAACTAAACAAAAAAAGCTCATCAGCTAGTTGCCCATTATATAAACATGACAACAATATATTTACTAGTGGTAGGCCGTCGAGTGAGCCCAATGGGTAGGTTAAACAGGAATGCGTTTATGTTTGAAGAGCGGGAGAGTCGCTTTTCTATATAATTGAGATATAGAGCTCACGTCTGAAGACTCATAAGTTTGGTAGCGACATTCACGTTCCGATCTCTCAGCGCTCCGTAACCACTTAACATCAGATTCGCCTAGTTCGCCTGTCTAAGTTACAAATCAAATCCCACATGCATATACCGAGTTTACGAACATTACTTCCTGAACTATAGTAGAATTATTTTGTCGCTGCAGTTTGGGTCATAAAACATAGCCCGACTAGGGCGGTGAGCATGTTGCGCGGGCGCAACGCCATTATCGATAAAAATAAATGAGTCATCGAAGGCAGGTACATGGCAGCGGGGTGGTATACGTAGGGTAGTGAGACATTGTTATGTTATGAGTAATTTGTAGTTACCTGCAAGTTATAGTACATTATGTCGAAGAGAAATGTGTTTTTATGCTTTTGTTCTCTGAATTTCTTTAGTGACACAATGGCTACTCCTTTGTTTTGTATCAAAACGGCAGAATTTATTCAAAATAATATTTGCACGTGTTGTTATCAACAATGTGTTAAAAACTTTCACTGAAATAAGAATAAATCCCGAAAAGTTACAAAGTGTTAATTTCTGCCGTTCTCGTTAACTTGCTGCGGCGATATGTGGTGTATTTTTATCACTAACCCACAAAATGACAAAACTAAATACACTATCGATAAAGCTTATCGACAACAATAATGCGCATCACTATGCCTGTCTATAAGGCTCGTGAGTGGAAGAGAGAGCGAAATATTCGCTTCACCGCTCCGACTTTTTATGACCCAAACTGCACGGACAAAATAATTCTACTATAATTCCACGATCAACGAATAACGTCGTATCATATCCCGCCTATGTTGGCCGCTAAATCTTTGGGACAGTTACTATACCAATACAGTTACATCGAGACCTTGGAGACGAGACATTGATCTTGCACTTCATGACCTAACACAAAACAGTGGTGGCCGAATTTCAATTGTTTTAAATATTCACCTCTTGGTATGCAATCGCATTTTCTATTTACACCAGGCAATCCTTGTTCACCCTGAAATAAAAATAATAATAATTAATAACTACACATTCAATAGACTACATGACGATAAGGAGAAACACCGACGGGGAACATTATAAAGGACTTAATCTGCGAACGACCATCAGCAATTAGGAAGAAAACGCGAAAAGAACACATTTTTTACTGGTAGTAGGACCTCTTGTGAGTCCGCGCGGGTAGGTACCACCGCCCTACCTATTTTTGCCGTGAAGCAGTAATGTATTTCGGTTTGAAGGGTGGGGCAACCGTTGTAACTATACTTGAGATCTTAGAACTTATATCTCAAGGTGGGTGGCGCATTTAAGTTGTGAATGTCTATGGGATCCAGTAACCACTTAGCACCAGGTGGGCTTTGAGCTCGTCAACCCACCTAGCAATAAAAAATAAAATAAAATCATTCAGGTTGTACCTGAATCGACACTGAACGAAAAACAAAGTACCGACCGAAAGAAAATGAAAAACACTATTCACTATCTGAAATTTCTTTAATGTTGCTTAGACGGATGTACGGGCCACATCGTCATCATTTTCCTGCCCTTTTCCCGGTCACCTGGGGTCGGCGCAACATGTTTTCTCCTTCCATATTGCTCTATCATATACAATTTCTTCACTCTTTGATAATACGAGCCATAGCACACCTATTATTTAGTGGTAACCACTAATAGACATCAATTCTCAGCTCTATAATAAAACGACTGTCTTGCCCTTCAAATCGAAACGCATGACTGCTTCACGGCAGAAATAGATGGGGCCGAAATATTAATAAAACTTGTCGCTTTAATAATTTCGTGTTTTGTTTGGGTGCGGCGTAAATCGCGTGAGCGTTCGCATTCAAAGGCGTGCCGATAAAAGTAGAACCTCAACTAAGGAACTGGAGAAGATTAGGTGTTTGCTACGTTTTCCTATTCCCAAGAGACGTCGGACTGCCACCCGTCTACGCAGTGCCTCGTGCAGATCACACGCTTTATTATATTTTTAATAGGTACGCTTTAGTAGCTTGATCTGTATCTATCTATTTATCTAAATATGTAACGTAATTTTCAAAAACTTCAAGAACTTCCAAGTAACTCGAAATTTTCCAGACGTAGCAAGAACTGATTACATTAAAATAATTTAAATTATCTCGGTCTTTTATTCTCGTTAAGGATATAAGGCGAATAGTTTAATTCTCGATTCGGTTTGAAGCGTGTTTTATGTTTTTAAGTTTTTAAAAGTACATAATTGTATTATATTATTAATTGTAACGTATCGCTTTGGGAATCACGATTACTGCCATGAACGGTTTCACTACAGTATGTACATACATACGTACATAAAAGGGGCGCATATAAAAGACAGTAAAAAAAAAATGTACTATGACAAAAAAGACAGACATACCATTGCACCTTTTAGCCCGAGAAGCTGAAATGAATATAGATTATAATTAATATTATTACAGAACATATGACACGCGCCGTCTATTTTATTTGATGTCTAAAGGTGAGTATCCGCAATTGTATGTGAGATTAAGTTTAGGGCCACGACAAAGGTAAGATCTTCCAGCGAGAGTAACAAATGCGATTCAAAGGACGACTTATTCTTATAATCTTGAAGGTTGACGTCATTGTACAATGTATTGTGCTCTTTCTAGCATAAAGTTAAAATGTTTACAACTCACTTATAAACTCGACCACGGTCCGAGTCACGGTGTGATTATCGTTATATGTTTGAAGTTCACCCAGTTAATACTACTGATGAGCTAGTAAATTATACCGGGAAGATCTTCTAAAGGGCAGATATAATTACTCGGTATACCGACGGTACAAATGTTGTTGATCGGAACTTGTATAAATGTACCTAAGCTTATCTTGAAAATGTCGTTAACGAGAATCAGGCATCTGTCAAATATCTTTTGTTTTATGATGGTAACGGCAAAATGAGTATCTAGTAAGCTTGTAGAGCTAACATTTTTTTTGGCCTTCGTAGGCAGAGGAATACAGGGCCTGCTGCATTATTATTGTTTATTGCATGCTGTATTATTAAATATTTGGTTTATAGCTCATCCATCCAAGCATTCAGACATCTTCGTTAAAGAACTCTCTATCAGGAAAATAAAATAAAATCAAAAATAGACTTACCAAATCGTGTATTGGTGGCTGAAAATTAAAATAAAGAATTATGTCAAGAATTCATACATAATATAATAACTTTTAGAAATTAAGAATGTCGACTTAAGGGTAGTAAATACGAGCCTGTCTCAGTTACTATGACCATACTTTTAAATTCGATATTGTTTATATTTCGTAAGTTTGTAAGAGTGGAAGAGTGCTCTGAGGAATTGTTCGAGATGATACCGGCATCTCGTTTTTACCATCACACCTCCCGCCACCGGAATAGAGTTCATCCATACAACCTGGAACCACTGCGGTCATCCACAGTGCGTTTCCAGAGGTCTTTTTTGCCACGTACCATCCGGCTATGGAATGAGCTCCCCTCCACGGTGTTTCCCGAGCGCTATGACATGTCCTTCTTCAAACGAGGCTTGTGGAGAGTATTAAGCGGTAGGCAGCGGCTTGGCTCTGCCCCTGGCATTGCTGAAGTCCATGAGCGACGGTAACCACTCACCNAGAGGTCTTTTTTGCCACGTACCATCCGGCTATGGAATGAGCTCCCCTCCACGGTGTTTCCCGAGCGCTATGACATGTCCTTCTTCAAACGAGGCTTGTGGAGAGTATTAAGCGGTAGGCAGCGGCTTGGCTCTGCCCCTGGCATTGCTGAAGTCCATGAGCGACGGTAACCACTCACCATCAGGTGGGCCGTATGCTCGTCTGCCTACAAGAGCAATAAAAAAATAAAAAAAAGTTTTTTTTTTTGCATTCAGCAGACTGTACCTACCTAATTGTCAACCTAAGAGAATTTGCTGACACTAGTCCCAGCAAGAGCAGGGCTTCGCAAAATTTACCACCGGATCGAAATCGCGACCCACTCATAAAATCCGACAAGAAACTCACTGGGCTTTGTCTATGGGTCAATTCCTCAACGCTCGTAGAGCCAAACCAAACATGGTTTTCTGATAAAGACAAAAATCGCTAAAGCTACCATTACCGGTGAACATTGAAAACTCACAAGCTCTTGCGTGAGCTCGCAAAATATATATTTTTTATTGCTTAGATGGGTGGACGAGCTCATCACAACCCACCTGGTTGTTAAGTGGTTACTGGAGCCCATAGACATCTACAACGTAACTGCGCCACCCACCTTGAGATATAAGTTCTAAGGTCTCAGTATAGTTACAACGGTTTCCCCACCATTCAAACCGAAACGCATTACTGCCTACCCGTGCGGACTCACAAGAGATCCTACCACCAGTAAAAATGGAGAGACCAATTTGTCGCGGGAAAGATAGTTAATACAAATTCACTTACTGTCGTCGAACAGTCACCTAGAAGCAAAGAAAAAGCAGGTTTTATACGAAAAACAAAATTATCAATTTATTATTATCTAATATAGGTATATAAAATTCTCGTGTCACAGTTTTCGTTGCCATACTCCTCCGAAACGGCTTGACCGATTTTGATGAAATTTTTTGTGCTTATCCAGTATCTATGAGAATCGGCCAACATCTATTTTTCATCCCCCTAAATGTTAGGGGTAGTCCACCCCTAAATATTTTTTTTTATTTGGACATTTTTTTTTTGTTATAATGCGGTATTATGTGGTTGAATGAGGTTTTGTTATTTTTATTATATATTCCCTCATCGTTCACAGCACTACATACCTCTTACACTTATTTACTACATCCTTACACACTTACAATAAGTTAGTTTTTTTTTCTACACTAGAAATTCCCTAGAAATCTTATATATGGCAAAACAATGTTTGCCGGGTCAGCTAATGACACTATAAAATCGTTAAAACGAAATAGTGACGGTTTTCACAGGTGGTCGTTTATTACGGCACTGACCTCTAATTAAACTAAATAATAAATATTATTAGAGATAATTAAATGAATAAAGATAAACAATATTCTATTCTCAATTTGACCACAGACTATACAAGCAATAAGTTTGACATGTTTTATGCATAATTTAAAAAAAATATCATACTGCACTCCTTCTCTATACTCTCTATAAGTGTGAGAAATTTCATACTCCTCCATCCGCGTAATTTTTGTAAAAAGAGCTCCAAAGGTTTTGCTTCACGTATTAATATAATTATATATTTTATACTTACTTATTTTTGATGTGCAAGTTTTTTCCGAATCGTCGGTGACCTAGAAATGGTAACATTTTGAGCAAGTTGTATTCCGCTATAGGTTATCTAACTGTTTATATGCAGATAGGCCCACGATTTATGTATTTCAAGTCATTGCTTCTAAAATTTTTTTCGCCGCGGCCCCTTTCTCTCTCTACACCCAATTCGACAAAGACAACGAAAACCAAAGTAATATCGGCTACCTTGATCATGTAACCACGGGATCGCTTTGCAGAGCTTGAACTATAGTAGCAACCATAATATTCTCTACCGCCATTAGTGAATGTGAATGTTTTGAAGTCGTCGTGGCCTAAAATATAAGACGTCCGGTGCATTCGTTCGATGCAACGGTGGTCGAATCCCGCAGGCGAGTACCAATTTGTCTAATGAAATACGTACTTAACAATTGTTCACGATTGACTTCCACGGTGAAGGAATAACATCGTGTAATAAAAATCAAACCCGCAAAATTATAATTTGCCTAATTACTGGTGGTAGGACCTCTTGTGAGTCCGCACGGGTAGGTACCATCGCCCCGCCTATTTCTGTCGTGAAGCAGTAATGCGTTTCGGTTTGAAGGATGGGGCAGCCGTTGTAACTTAGAACTTATATCTCAAGGCGTGTGGCGCATTTACTTTGTAGATGTCTATGGGTTCCAGTAACCACTTAACACCAGGTGGGCTGTGCGCTCGTCCACACATCTAAGCAATAAAACAAAAATAGTATCAAAATATTAATGTGACTTACTATAGTGAATTCGCTCTCTGCCTTAACTGCAAGAAAAGAAAATAGTACAAGTCGATTGACAAATTAATGTAATTATTATTCAACAATAATAAATAAAGAGAATATTTTTTGTACTCGCATCGAGCGATCTAACTATTACGGGTTTCTAAGCCTACAGATACCAAGAACCATACTAAGGACTTCCACGTTGAGGGAAGAAAACCAACAGTAAATTGGTAATTTCAGGCGGTAAGGTGTACTTTGTGGCGGTGCAGGTAGGTACCGTCATCCTGCCTAGTCCTTCCTGTTTTTTTTTTTGATTTATCAAGGTTAGTGGCGTAAAAGCTATCCAGGCGACGGGAAAACGCATAGCCGCTGTCACCCGAAATATGTCTTATCGCATCTCCCGGATCCGCTTTCGATGCTTTTTAGACTCTTCAAGACCGGTCATCCCCCGGAACTTCTCCGAACTAACACATAGACACAGCCCACTAAGTTTCTCGCCGGTTCTTCTCAGTGGGTCGCGATCCCGATCCGGTGGTAGATTTTGTGAAGCACTGCTCTTGCTAGGACTAGTGTTAGCAAATTCTGGCAGGTTGAGCCCGTCAGCTCACCTACCCATCCGCGCGAAGCTGGCATAGCCCCTTAGGCTATCACCGAATAGGTGAGGAAAAAAATACTTATGTAGTCTAACAAAAAATAACTCCTTCTCCAAGGTTTCTATTGAGCGCTATTACATAACTCTCTACTGTCTTCTAAGGCATCAACGCATTTACAGTACAGCATATTTCGATAACGATAAACTTGAAATTAAAATGTACTCACCCTGTGCCAGACATAGACACAAAAAAATACCAACAAAAATAATAATAGAACTGAACTTTGATGCGTCCATCGTGCGAGGCGTAATTCTAATTAAATATATATTATTTTGCACAGATTTTAAATAATACCTACCTAGTATTGAATTTATTTTCCTTGTTTAAAATATCGCATTGTTTCCTCATTACATTGGAACGGATAGCAGTTGTGTTAAAATGGGAATGTTTCTTAATTTATTGCGTATTCGGGTGAACAAACCGATGGCCAGTAAATAGTTGTTAAGTTTAATCGAGTTCTTACAAATACGGCGCACGTCATATGGGATCCTTCCGATCCACTCTCAGTGCTTTTTCCAAGCACCGGTCACTGTTTTTCGTGAAAATTAACTCACGGACACAGCCTACTGAATTTCTCGCCGGATCTTCTCAGTGGGTCGCAAATTCGATCTTGCTATGGCTAGTGTTAGAAAATTCGGGATGAGCTCCGTGAGCTCGCCTACACGCTCGGTGAAGCCTTAATAACTCCTCAAGGTTCCTAGTACAGGTGGGAATAATAATAATGTAAGATCAAAGTTTCAATCGTAGTGTTGCAAAGTTGTCCCACTCTTCAAGCCGGAAAGAATTATTGGCTCTTTGAAGAAAAGTCAGAATGGTCACAATCGTTCAAGCCTACTTACTCTCAAGCGAATCCATAGTCGCCTTAACTAGTATTAGGAATATTGCTCTTCTATGGCCACACATCGAAACATATTGATTAAATGAAAAGTTGGTAATAACGAGGCTCCATGCAATATAAATTTGAATAAAGATGACAATTTGACTCTGAAGGGGTGCGTGCTACAATAAAAACCTGTCCAGTGCACTCTGCTGGTACATTTCCGAACTATATAGCTCAATCAAAGGAAAAAGCTAGAAAATATCCTGTCAACCATGTCTTAGTTCTATTATAATCCGATAGATGTCACTAAACATGATTTTTGCAACGAGACTATTAGCGTATCAATCAAAACGAACCCGACGGAAGACTCATTATTGCATGTGATTTCTTTAAAAATATTTTTAATACAAAATATGAAAGATTTTGGATATCTTAGCAATTAGGTCTACAAACTATCCAACAATGTCATAAGTCTATTTTATCCATTTATTAAAAATTAATAAATGGATATAATAGACTTATGACATTGTTGGATAATATTTATTAATTTATTAATTTATACCATCACTTTGCCTGTTTCCGCCGCGAAGCAGTAATGCGTTGGAAATTGAACTCATATTGGGTCAAGGTGGGTGGCGGAATTTGCGTTGTTGATGTCTATGGGCTCCGTTATCCACCTAACAGCAGATGGGCCATGAGCCCTTTTACCAATCTAAGCAATAAAAAAATAAAAAACCATAATAATAAAACAAAAGCGCACCGAAATAATTGCAATAAGTTGTACCATAGAAACAAAGTTACAGAGTCCAAAAACTGTGGTCACCAGCCGATATTGGATATGTCCAGTGGAGCGCTTCTGCTTATAATTATAATATTCGGTATATACGCTTTGAACTGGTTTCATTGGACGAGGATAATGAAGAGGAAAATTACCGTAATGTTATTAAAGGAAACAATTTGAAATAATAATCTATTTTAATAATTAATTTCTTGCACAATGGACGTTTTTAAGTTCGGCTTTGTTGCTTTGTTCGCAAATAGTTTATTGAGTTTGTCATTGGCTCAGAGTAAGTGAAATCTCTTATATATTTGAATTACAATTTTATTTAACTGTCGATCATCTCAGTGCTAGATGGACACTTGAGTCTGTAGAGATATAACGCCACCACCGACTATGAGACATGAGGTCGAAGCCTCAAATGCATGGTACCGGTGTGTTCAACCCTTTAAAGAGCACCCAAATATTCAAGTCAATCGGACGTGTTGGAGTCTGTGAAAATGATGTTCAAAGATTCCGTTACATACGAATTAAGATAAGATTAAAACATAACTCTATTTGAAAAGTAGTAAGAATAAGCAAAAAAAAAACGTGTGGCACTCGGGAACTGCCGCGGTAAAGCTATTGCATAGCATTTTTTATCAACTTATGCAATTGTAATTAGACAATGATAATTTAATATTAAAACAATAATAAAACAAGATCACGCTATATTAAACATTAATAAAAGCAAAACATTAACTGTCCCCTTCACACTCATAAGATAGACCGCGCGAGACAGAGATGGGCAGACTTTTCATGATGCGCATGCAGTGTGACGTCACGCCACGCGCTTATTCACAAACACTACACAAGCGCAACGTGTGAATGTGTTGAACGCGAGCTACATAGTAAGCGTAGTGGGGGTGTCAGATTATTTTCGTTACGGAATTTCTTGATTCAGTCACCGCGCTCAAAACCCGCGATAAAATCTATGCAATAGCTTAATAATATAGTGAAAATACTATAAAATCCAGAATAATACAAATTCATGTAAACTACCGTAAGGTACATTAAATCGTAGAAGAAACTTATTGAATAAATTTTCGACTTAGTTTAAGAGGCAGATTGCCCGATTGCGAACGATTGCTTTAATGCATAATAAATTAGTCAATTATTATGTAGACGCTATTATCTAATTGTTTCGGGAATAGAAAAAATCATTTGTTAAGTGCACGATACATATCAGCTTCGTTTATTTCATTACAGGTGGCCCGGATTTTATCAGTTGTAAAATCGATGCTGTGAGTAACTATTCGCCTAAATTGTTCGAGAATTTGAGACCAATTCTGCCGGGTTTCAAATCTCTTAAACTAATACTAAACAAAAAAAATCGAACTAAATTAGAACACTTTTTAACAGTGATATCTTTTAGGCAATACCGTCTTTACCATAAGGGCACACGGGGCCCGTGCCCAGGGCCCCCATTCTCAGGGGGCCCCGAAAGACCGACAATTTCTCTCACACGTTTATTCTCAAAACATTTTTGTCGGGCACACTTTTTTCACAAATCAGCAATCAGAAGGTTTAAAGGAATTACAAGGCATATACTATGCCTATAATAGAAGATTTTGCTCAACAGAAATCCCGAAAGAAACCGTTATCGAAATCGTAACTAAAAAACCAGCAGCATTCTAATATCATTAATGACATATTATATCGTACTGTATTTGATTACCTATAAATGGTCATACTCAGTAAAAAAATGTTATTATAATTCGCTTTTTTTACTTTCCAAAAGGCCTCAATTCTTGTGTGCCCAAGGGCCCCATCCTAGCTTAAGACGTGCCTGCTTTTAGGAGGAAACGACAAGTGTGCTATTATGACAATCGCAAAATTTTCTAATTTTCTAAATGATCAGTACATCCATTAGTAGTCGATAATTCTCATATCATCATCATCACATAAATGGTCTATACATTTATGAAGAGAGAGATAGAAATAAAAATAATAAAAAAAAATATTAAAAGTGTTATATAAGTATACATTTTTAATAATTCTCACACATTTGCTTAATTTTGGTGACATAAATGATTCAACACTAAATTTGCCGTCGAGCATTTAAATTTTGAAAAGCTTTCACCTTTAGTTGACTTGTTTGCAGTAGACAGGCGGTTGTTATTCCGTTTGTTACCCAGAATTATCGGGAAGTTTGCAAAGATTACAACAAAATACATTCTCGTAGCAAATGAAAACAGAGCAACGCACAGCTGGCGTCATCCTAAGCATGTCATTTCCGATCCTCTCGATCCACTCTCGGGTATTTTTAGGCACGATTTTAGATGTTAGTTACTTTCTCAGGCGGAGTCCCATGAGCTCACCTACCACTCACGGCAAGCCGTAATAGCGCTTTGAGGCTAATGGCAGTTAGGTTTTTTTTTATTGCTTTGATGGGTGGACGAGCTCACAGCCCATTTGGTGTTAAGTGGTTACTGGAGCCTATAGACATCTACAACGTAAATGCGCCACCCACCTTGAGACATAAATTCTAAGATCTCAGTAGAGTTACAACGGCTGCCCCACCCTTAAAAACCGAAACGCATTACTGCTTCACGGTAGAAATAGGCAGGGTGGTGGTACCTACCCGTGCGTACTCACAAGAGGTCCTACTACCAGTAAAAATAGTAGGTACGCAAAAAAATCTGATTAACAAGCAACCCAAGAACAGAGATGCAATGATGGCTTCCCACTGATATACTTATAAAAGAAATGTCAAAATATCCCCGCCACAAGCCAGAATTATCTCTGCAGCGATTGAAAAATAAAATATTTAATGCACCGTAGGAGCGAAATACGCACGATGACATACAAGATGGGCTTTTGAGGGCCACTAAATTAAGAATTAAAAAAACTGTAACTAATTAAATCTAAAAGAAAAATTATAATTAACTGAATCTAATCTCGTAATTATTGGTTTACAGGGACTAAAAGGAGAGAAAGTAAGTGTTAATCAGTTTTATGGTATTCAAATAGTTTGTGTTAATGGAATTTAAATAATTATTCTTATAAATTACAGGGCGACAGAGGACATCCCGGTCCCCCTGGAATTTGCGAGTGTAAACCAACAGGTTGGTATCAGTGATCACTTGATCATTCTTTAAATTAGTACATCTATTGAATGAAATAGAAGTTGTCGTGAAAAATAGTTAAAATAAGATATCTAGTAGGAGGTTCGGGCTTCAGCCAAAAAAAAAAAATTACAACTTAAAATTTTTGTACATAAATCATAGATTCGAATTGTTCTATCAATTTTATTAATTTTGGTTTCTTTAGATAATTCAGAGAATGAAAGAGGAGATTCGGCAAGTCGACCTTCGAAAACAACCTGTAGCAATGTGCCGGCCTCAGGTGAGGATTGCATTAAGCTGTGTGGATTGTATCACACGACATATTGTGCTTATTTCTTCTAAAAATAGTATTAAAATTATCCAGAAATGAATATAGCTACTAATAATTATTATTGATCAAGCAATTGGTTTATTTGTAAAATTCTTATATTGGATATTGTTTGTCTGGAAGAGGAGGACTCGAGACTTTTGTGATATAATATTATATTATATAAACCGCTTAAGTTCAGATTACTTGTGAGCTAGTTGTTTAAGACAGAGACCAGCCAAAA